TCGCAGAACAGGTGTGCGGATATGACTTTTCTTTACGTAGATTCATGTAAAAATAGGCGCTGCAGAACCCAAACATAGCTTCTGGGTCGGATCCCTGCTTCTGTCCTTTTCAATCTGAACCTTCTGCAAACCTCAGCTGAACGTTGCTTTAAAAAAAAAATAACAAAAAAAAATTAAAAAAAAAAAACCGTTGTGCAACCCTTAAAATGAACTCAGACATATCGCTAAGAACTGTAGCCGAATCTCTCCGAGCATCCTCAGATCTTTCGGGCCAAAAGGAGAGGAGTGGCGATCGCTTTATGCCTAATGAGTCCCTATTACCATGGCGCCAACTGTCAGCTTGCAGCGGCGTCACAACTGCAAAGATTTTTTTTATTTTTTTATTTTATGTATTTTTACATACTGCAGCCCCGTCGGGGCTATTGCTAGAGTGTGTGTGTGTGTGTGTGGGGGGGGGGGGATCACAATTCACAGAATTCAACATTGATCGAAGATCAGTTAATTCTTCGGAAATCTGGTTCCAAATAAAACGGAGCAACTAAACAATCGAGAAAAAAATTAGGTCGTGCTTTCATTTGACTGAACAATATGTTTGTGCATAGTAAAATAAAATGTCTAATAGGCTTTTTTTTCTGTACGTTCTTTTTTTTTTTTTCTTTCTTTTAGTTTAGGGCTGCAGGCTTGAGCTGGTGCCAGAATACCAACTATGCTGCGCTTTATAGACATGAACCGCGTGACCGCCCTCACCCGTGCGATGGTGACGGGTTCCCTAACCGACTGTTAGTCATCCCGTCCCTAGCAGTCGGTGTTTCCCATGCAGCAGACGACAAGTTAAAAGCATTGAGCTTCAAGGACTATTTTAAGTCAGTTTTCTCTTATGTCGTAGCGGGCAATTAGGACGTTACCAATGACGTGTCAGATGTTATAGATTCTCTGTGGGAAATTCAGTTTTGTGGTCATGGTATTTTTTAAAGCTGTTAACTAAAATAAGGCAAGATGCGGCATCGGGTGCTGACGGCTACACCTAATGTTAATTTGAAGTCCTGTGTTGATGTTCCCTCTTCTGTTTTGGTAATCCTGTTTTAAATATCTTTAAATTGGGGCCCTTTACCAATGCGCGAACGTGGTTTCCGTCGATATATCATACCAAAAGAATCTTGTTCAAAACTATAATCCCATCTCACTGACGAGTATGTGCTGCGAAACCAGGAGTATATAATTAACGCAAATCTAATAAAATATCTTAGCCTAACAAATTTATTTAGCCCGTCTCGGCACGGTTTCCGCACTGGTTGTTCTAGCACCACGCAGCTGCTAGAGTTCCATCATGACATTTCCCAGTCGTCTGGCAATGGTAAACAAGTCGACTGCGGAATTTTATTTTGTTCCAGAAAAGCTTCCGACGTGGCTCGACATGCTCTCCTCCTGCAGTACTTTCATTGACTTAACATAGATTCGGCAATTTTTAATTGGATGGGTGATTGCTGGAACTCAAGAAAAGAGTCCGTGTTGATTAATGGCATACAATCTTTTTATGTAGAAATAACATCTCGTGTCCCGCAAGGGTCAATTCTTGGACCACTTTATTTATTTTTTACTTTTATTAATTATATTGTCGATCACTTCAAACATACGATTATATGCTGATAATGGTATTTTATACAGAGATGTCACCTGTGATATCGATAGTTTTGATCTACAACGCGATCTGGATGAGGTTGATGCCTCGTGTGTCAAATATGGTGCACGCCTTTCAATCCATCAAAATGTATTCATGTAAAATTCTCCAGAAAAAAAAAAGAACTAAGATAATTTCCTCATTATACAGGATTGGAGCTACTTCGATCGAGCTTCTAATTGAGGCCACATATTTGGGAGTTATTTTTTCGTCTGGTTTAAGATGGAATAAACATGTAGATTACATTTCAGCGAAAGCCAACCGCTCTGTGGGTTTCATTAGGAGTAATTTTAGGTTGGCCGCTCCTTCTTTGAAAGATACTTAGCATTTCTTTCATGTGCGATCTGCCCTATGTTATTCGAGTTCAATTTTGGATCCTTTCAGACAGAACTTGAATGAACGGTTTGAAAAAAATCAGTCGTGTTCCTAGACTTGAAGAACACGGAAAGAATACGGACACAGGCGGGACGGGGAACGCACGTACATTTCTTTCTTTAATATTTCGTGTTCCTCAACTCAACCAACACGCTCGTCAGTCTGCATTGCTATATTTTTTTGCCCATAATTATGATTTTAGAACCAGCATAACTGAGGTTAAAGCGTCACTGCGTTGGAGACCTCTGAGTAAACGACGAAAATTCCTCCGTCTGCTCTCACTTTCGCACCGTCGTCACTACCCTTTGACTAACTATTTACAACCTCAAACGCGCGATAGGTAGTAAAAAGTTAGTAATTAAGTGCTGCAGTTACTACTTTTCTCTGACCTTTACTACGTTTTTACTAGCTATTCACTACCTCAAACGCGCGACAGGGAGTAACTGCAGCTACAATGCGAAGAAGCGAGAACATGGCTGCTGGAAACCTATGGGGACGCTGCCTCGTAGACTTTCGCAAATAATTACTGTGTGTACCGTTACTTCTTGGTAAGTTTCCAGTATTGTTGCTAAACATTCCTGGGAATGTTTAGCAACAATACTGGAAAACTATATTCCTGTGAAAGCAGCACCACGTGTGTAACATCGGTCACGGACGAGGTGGTCACTCGACTTTTTTCATATGATCAGTCACTGGATGCAGTGATTGGGTTAGCGTCTCGTCGCGTGTGTGTTATCTGTTTTAATTCCTTTTCTGTGTTAAATGTAATGTGCATGTAAGCAGCGTGGAAAAAAATCTATCCCAGCGATAATAATTTTCTTTTTTAGCCAGTATTGAATTTTACGTTGATTAGCGCCACCTAAATTCAAGTAGCGATAGTTTTTTTGTTTTTTTTTGTGAGAGCTAGTGCCCCAGTTACTAGCTAATGGTAGTGATATATACTACGTCAGTAACCGTTACTAGCTTCTTGACTAGTAACAGTCACCAGCTTGACCGTTACTACATACGGTTACCTCAAGTTTCCACCTTAAGAAAAAAAGGAAGTTTCGCGCACTGTTCATACATACGCCGCGCAAAGTAGTTGTTACAGGATTTTGTTGTCGAAGGAAAAAGCGATGCTTTTGGCGTTTGAAGCACGCACGTTTTCATAAGGTAGCAAATAACTAATCTAAAATTCACCTATACGTATCTTAATTATCTACAAAAAGGGGGAAATTAGTAATGCTGCGCGAGGAGCCGAACCTTTTTTTTTAGTACGGTTCTTGAGGTGAAAACTAGTATAGGCACCTAGTAAGATGTGACCAGCAGTTACTAGCTTTTTCGTAGTAAATACCACTAACTTTTGTTTTAAGAGTGGAAGAGTAATACGATTACTTCTAAAAGTAATAAAGTTACCAGTAACCCTCGCTGTTTTCTCCTCTCTTGCCTTATGGCGCTCCTTGTTTTGACAACATCCCTACAAAGGAATCGTCGAACAAAGTGCCGAAAGGGGGGCGGTTTACCAAAGGTTGTCGTTTTAGAAGATGAGTAGTTTTTAATCCGGTGTTTATATTTCAATAATGGACGATCAAAAGTCCCGCGTTCAAACCGGCAGAATGTCGGGCCGTTTTGAAAAATTGAAGCAATTGGAAAAGCAACAACTACTTTATCAAGTAACAGTCAATTACTCTTCTTCTCAAGTAATCTAATTAAATACATTTTTAATCAAGAGTAAAAGTAATTGCAACCGATTACTTTTTGAGTAAAGTGTACAAGACTGGTTCTTTCCCGTAACCCGCGGTCGTATGAAGACCATTTCCATATAAGTGTTGCCAGGAGACGCCGTTGCATCTTGCGTCCCCGCAAAACGAGAGGCATAGCCTCCTATATACTGACAAAGCCTGGCAGATCACCACGGGAAGCGGCCATCGAAATGGAAAAGGTGTAGCAGCAGACAACGAACGAGAGGAGAGCCACGTGACTGGCGCCCCGCTGCGGCGAGACGCCGAAACACACTGCTCCCAAGGGAACAAGTGCGTTTCACGTCCTCGCCGCTGCAAAAGCTGTGCGCATGAATATCAGGCTCCCCGAGAAGTGCTCTCTGCTAGCAGATCCTCGCGCTCCAAATCTGCGACCGGGCACTCTATGGCTCCGTCGTCGAACTGTCAGGCTTTGTGAGTATAGAGGGGGCTATGGAAGAGGTCAGACACTCCACGCCATAGCACCGCTTATTGCCACGTCAATGGAATATTCCTTCACCAATCATCCATGTGCTTAGGGAATTAGGGAAAGATCTGTCGGAAATATTTTTAAACAATTTTCTAAGAGGAAGACAGCCTATTATTTAATAACTGTGGTAAGTTTAGACAGCCGGACGTTAGACATCCTTAATGGGCGTTGGTGCCTCAGCTGGAGATGAGAAATGGGTGGGGTCTTTAACGATCATTATGCAGTAGTGATACCCGACTGTACGCCGGCACAACGCTCATTCAGCTCAAAGTGGGCAGGAGTGGGGATCGAACCCAGGATCCCTGGATTCTGCAGCGCGAGCTTTCGCGCCAAGCGCTCCGAGCTGTAGTGCATTAACACAGCTCTGCGGGCTGCCGTCTTTTGTCTACGGGGTTGTGGAAACTGTTCTGAGCGCACACAGTAGCTCTCTTTTATGAAATACCAGGTATCGCGCCGCTCCTTCCCGCTGAGGGCATATGTCATGGGCTTCCACGGATGCGTCCAAGAGACGGCCCCTCTCTCCATTGCTGCGTTAACACACGCGGCCACCGATTTCCTTTCCCCATCACCTCGTATATCTTGAATACCCCAGCAGAAGGACATTGCTAATCTCCAACTTCTTGGCTTCTTTAGCATTTTAGCGTCCTCACAAGTGGGACATAAGCGAGTTCGGAAGTCCTGTCGAAACGAAGCGACCGGTTGCGAAAGACGATCTCTGCTGCTTGCCTTGCAGGAGCTCGGAGGCCCTCGATGCGGATCCGCCAGCGCCTAGCGTGGGTTCCCCGCTAGCCCCCAAAGGGGGCGCCACCGTGGGTCTGCGAATGGCTAACGGACGGGTGTCCAGCGGCACCCCCGAAGACAAAGAGGCGGCCTCCGATGCCCACAACGTCAAGATCTGCATCGACGCCGGGGAACCGGGCTCTGCCACGCCGGGACACCAAGACACCGCACAGTTCTTCCCCGCAGGGTGCGTACGGTGAACCATTCGACTAATCACTCTCTGCGCGCTGCTGTCTTTTGTCTACTGGGTTGTGAAAAGCGCTCTGAGCACACACAGTAGCTCTCAATTCTGTAAAATACCGGACGTCGCGAAGCTCTTTCCCGCTAGGGGCGTATGTCATGGACTTCCACGGATGCGTCCAAGAGACGGTCCATCTTCTTTACAGAGTAAAACAGAGTTAAATTTAGAAAGAACCGTCGTTGGTCCTCTAATTTTATCAGAGGCACAAGCGACGGCCAAGTCGTAAGCTAGGAGGTGCTATTTCGGGTAGTCAAGACGAACTAACTGAAAGCAGCCTTCAGTTACAAAGCGGTATGATACCATAACCCTAGCACAAAAGACCCTAGCACAGAAAAGAGGTCTGAGTTTGTTTTTTGCAGAATACAAAAGTAGTCAATCAAGGCGAACAATGGATTTCAGTGCTCACTGTAAAAACGCTGCTCCAGAGACTTACACCCACGATTACCCTCTTCAATTATAAAATAGGGTTATGTTGCATTGAACGCAGTCCCTATTTAAAGGGTGTAAGAAGAGTGTCTAAAAAGATGAAGCGAGGCGAACACCCATTCTGAAGGGTGTTCGCTGCGCTGACACTCGCTTTAGCGAGGTGGTTTTAGCGATAGTTTTATAGAGATATATTATGCATGACGCAAACTATTGACGAGAAAAAAGCCCAGTACGTGCAATCTTCGTAATTGTGGAGGCGGTGCATTTGAGAATGAGTGTCTTTGAATTATCGAGTATATAAGGATGTTGAGCAGCCACGAGTGTCATTTATTCATTTATTCATACTGCTCGCCTTTCTCAAGGCTTTAGCAGGAGTGGTACAAAATAAACTCGAAATACATGCTCAGATACATAAAAATACCAACAGCGTCGGCAGTGCCCCACTGCACTGCAGCACAAAAGACAAACGTCCATTCCCACCGAAAGAAACACAAACGTGCACAAAACAAAAAAGGGAAACAAAGGAGTCATTATAAAAAAAATATACAAAATAACGATCGAAGTAGCACGATTCGAAAGAACAAGACAAACATACAAGGTTCTCACAAAAATCATCTACTTGGTTCGTAATAAAAAACCGTGACAATGACACCCACTCGACCATGTTGGCTGACAATGTTACACTAGGCGGAAAAGATCGATGAATAAAATACACAGCAAGGTTGCGAATAAGAGCGTCTATTCAATTCGCCATAAAAACTGTGATAAAGAAACACCCTCGACCAAGTAAGCCAGTAAACAATTCCACTCGCAGATAGTGCGTGGAAAGAAAGAATAATAAAATGCATTGTTATAAGATGAAAAATCTTTGATTAACAATCGGTGCGATCTCCTTGTTGCCCGCAGTTGAAACAAAAAATATGCTTGGTTTTGTTGACTTTAAGGCTATCATTAACGATAATGTGCTAAACTTTTTTGAATCTGTCCCTCCAGCGTCTTCGTTCTCGGCATTCAAGGTTAGCATTTGTTAGAAGCTGGCTTGGAGACTGACCAGCTGTAGGAATTGTAAATAAATCTAATGACTTTCTGACCTTCGACGAATAGTCCCACAGCCGATCCCGGCAGTAGGACTATTCGTCGAAAGACAATTCGTAGCATGGCAACTCGTAGAAGGGCGATTCGTCGCATCGGGCCATTCGTCGTAGGGCAATTCGTAATAGGGCGATTCGTCACCCTATTGAAGGCTTCTTATGCGTTTAATTTTCACAGTTTATTGAATATATTGCTTCAAAATTATTAATTGTGAACGAAGGTTCTCCCTCATTTGGTATTTTGCTTTGTAGCATGTTTAAGATTTGGCTGAAATGCTCTACTTTCGCAAGACGCTATCTGCATCTCTGGGTGTACGCCACAGACGAGTTATAAATATGTTTCAGTAATTTTTTGATAGGGCGACCACACAGGCGTCAAATCACGAAAGGGGTTTTATATGCATCGGAAACTCTGCATATACCTCTCAGCTTACAATGTTATGATTCTGGTGCAAGCCTCGAGGAGGTCCACGTTGTCTGTTCCATCGTAGCGTCTAATATTTCTTTGAAGGCGCTCGTTGAAGTCTTGCTGCTTCCGCGACACCCTTGTGGCAGCGATCCCGCTTGCCGCGTGACTGAGCTTCATATCGCTTCTCTTTCGCGACTCTTTCTTCAGAGAGTCGAGGAACACCCAGAGCCTTGGTGAAGCGCAGCTTACGTTGCTCTGAAAAACGAGAATAGGAGCAGGAAATAAGATATAAAAATTGTTAATTGAGCCTATGCGCGATAAGTTGAGTAGGCACACAAAATTATGAGCAATTACCTGCAGCCTATAGTGTCACGCCTCCACACTGTTATTTGTACGGGGAATGCCATCAAGTGCCGCCTCGTACACGGACCACAGTTTCGGAGGAAATTGAGCCGAGCAGATGTCGTTCCGACGTAGTTGACCGACGTACATGCCCTCAAAGTAGTCGGCGAGTTCGATCGCCTCCTGTGGAAAAACTTCCAACAAGTCTTGAAAGGCCTCCGGGATAGTACCAACAGGCATAAAAGCCAAGTCTGGGAGTATTTTCATCTGGAAATAAAAACAACTGTTACATCGGCTGTATTATAGAAGAAAACAACCTGCAAATGCCTCGCAATTGCCATAACGTGTTTGGAATCTCAGCGCACATAGCTTACGATGAACAGACACCTGGTTCAGGTGAAAAAAACACCCTTGAATTGAGATGTCCGAAATGACGTCACGAGCAGCGTTAATACCAGCCATCTCGAAGTCCGTGTACAGCACACGAACAGCGCAGGGCCCGACGTTGTCGATGACGACTGAGAAGAAGCTGGTAAGGTAACACGCAGTGATCACGATTTGAACAACCAATCACTATAGGTTGCAACAGCAGTTAATAAGGTAACAGTTTGTAGTGACGTACCTCCGATAGGTTTCCTCGGATTTGTTGGCCAGTAGACCGTACACCATGGGCACGACAATTTTGTTCTTGAGAGCATGAGGTGTGTACAACTGGTAGAATAGTGACGTCCCATCACAGAACCATGCACCTGCACCCTCTAAGCACTCCAAGTACCGCTTCGTAGCAAAGAAAATAATGCTGTTGACGTCACCATCGCCACTATCGTGCAGTAGGAATGCCTCTTGTTTCAAATTCACCTGCATAAAGAAACTGATCACAAACATTTTTTTTTTTTCATCTTGGTAAACGTGCCTTGTATTCAGGTGGGAGATGAATGTCTTCTCTGCTGGGAGGAATATCGCAGACAAATGTCGTACGTTGCCTTTGCCTTCTGACTGTTCGTCGAAGCACTGGCGTAGGGGACAGCTGTGACGCAGTGCTCTCGTGATCTTTGCCGCCGCGCCTATAAAAAATCTGCTGCACTGGCATCCGCGTCCTCCAACTAAAAAGGCGGTAGACGATGACTATCTGATAAAACTTACTCTAACGACAAAAAACACTAACGAATATTCATGCATTCTTACCAGCGCTCGCCTTCATTTCTGAACGACGTTTCAGACAGCTTATCTCGGTTGAGTCTGGAGCATGACTGTGTTTTAACGTTTTTGTGACTTTATTAACAACGCGAAGCTTAGAGACGTCAGTCGTGATCTTTGCTTTGCAGGTCTCTCTTCTTCGACATACCCAGTAGATGCTTTGCGCAGTCCTTCGGTTAACAGTGTATAAAAATCGTTCGCAAACCAGCATCTCCCATCCTCTTTCAGTCCTGATGACCTCTATAGCGACCAGTTATTTTATAGCATTTGGCCGGTGTACGAAAGTGCCCACGGAACTAAAAGAATAAGGATAACACAGAGGTTTTTAAAGCTTTATCTTGTAAGCCTTGAAAGTTCGTTCTATACTTTCCGAAAAAAAAAAAAGATAAGCGAAATCGAATTAACAACGAAGCCTCCAAACATTCTGCTAAATCTGGCGGAAGCCGCACGCTCGCTGAACTACTCAAACTGTCGGCCTTGAGTGACAGGATTGACCCGGCGAACATGCAGCCTCCCGTGCACTGTCAGCTTAAGGGTGAATACAGCAGAAAAAGCGGACAATAGAGCATGAACTATCCAAACAGGATACAACACGGCATGCATGTTTAGAAGAAGAGCCTCCGATGTTTCCGACTTTCCAAAAAAACAACAAGGCGGTGTTCGAACTTTTCTTGGAAGGCTTCTGAACTTTAACTTTTATACATACACGTTCCAACAGCATCTTAAAGGTTAAAAGATTAAAACAGCGCAAAAAAACGACGGACTGGATGAAGGAGGACACAGACAAAGCGCTGACTCGCAACTAAATTTTATTGGACGCAACAGTGCAATATATACACGCACATTTGGAAACAGAAAAAGGAAGCGTCCAATAAAATTTATGGTCGAGTCAGCGTTCTGTCTGTGTCCTCCTTCATCCAGTCCGCCGTTTCTTTTTGCGCTGTTTTAATATCTTAAGTATATCGTACCAACTCGCCCAAGCTTCAACTTTAGCAACATTTAATCCTAAAGGTGTTGGTGAGCCAGCCTTCGGGAGTTTTCCCTAGGGCAAGCTCATTTACACGCTTAAGATGTAAATTACATTGTCCTAGGTCAGGAAGCGCTGTAGCGTCTCGTGGACGCTCTAGCGCCCCCTGGGCCCGTTTCTGTCGGCCAGGGGGCGCTGTAGCGCGCACGACTCCGACCACAAAAGGGGCGCCTACGCTATAGCGTCCGCCAGATGCGACCATTTAATGCTGACGGGAAGCGGCGTCCTAGCGTCCCTTCGTGGACAATCCACGGGCCCAAACTAGCGTCTGTCCGCGTTCCTCGGCGCCTGTACACGGTCATTGACAGAGAGTTTGAAAAAGCGTAACGCGACGCACAGCAGAAACGATCCTAACAAACATCAGATTTTTCTCGCCAGGGGCGCTGCTCAAAACTTCAAAGCTGCAGGTCTATAGCTAAGGAGCCGAACGCGCACGTGGAGCCACACGATTCTTCGATATAACGCTACTCGCGGTTCCCCGAAAAGCAAGCCGTAGTCGTGGTTCAGGCTATTTTTACGTCGCTGGCCAGTCGATTCCAACCCGGAAAAGAAAAGCTTTATTGACGACCGCCGCGGCCGCGGCGGGCTGCGAGTCGCACGGGCTGGTCGAAGAACTCGGCTTTATTTGTCTGTGTGTTCGTCTGTCGACATGCTGGCTGGTGAGCACGCATGCTTTGTGTCGGATCGCTTTTTCAAAGGTCCTCTTGCGGTGCTTCGGGATACTTTTCGTTTGTTGTTACTGCTTCTGGTAAAAGCGGCCAGAAGAACAAAAGAACACGCGCAATATCCGCGCAAAAAATGACGCAAAGGACGTTTTACGCGCGCCATGGCCGCTTCGTTACAAGTAGAGGAAAATGGCACTGCCACTAAAAGGGTTCTTTCAGTGGATCTGAAGCATGTGTCATCTCGCCGCTGGTGATGACACGTGTAGCTGGTGAGAACGAGCGCCTGAAGGTAAATATTGTTGAAGCCAGGACCGCGTTAAGAGCGGGGCGAAAAAAGAAAAGTAGTTAATAAAGTACGAGTGGAATGACAAAGCTCCAAGAACGTCAGTGGACAAACTGGCGTTTCAAATCTTGGGACGAATTTTCTTACCTGGTAGCAACGTGAACCTCAGAGGAGGCTGACATCTTTCCCAGATACCCCCCACCCACCCTTTTTCTCTGCACCGTGAAGACTTCAACTCGTTCAACGTTTTCGACTCATGAATGTTCCTATGTTTTCTGAATTGACAATGATGGCCCTCCCTCAACGCCACCATAACGGCCCCAAAATAACTATAGAACCTATTTGGAATCTTATAGTCACCCGAGAAGACAAGGAATATGGCAGAAACTGCTTTAAATAAAAATTTACTCAAAAGGAAGAATGGTAGGTGTCTCAACACAGCCTTTACAGAACTTTACTGAAAACGTAAGCAACGTGGGCGGTCGCCATAGATAGAGCATTACTTCCTGTACGAAGTGAGCAATTAAACGGTAAATCCGCGCTGAACGTGGATGCACAGCCGACCCTCTGCCCATGCGTAATTTTTACGCCGGATGAACACGATGCTTTTTAAAAGCGTCCGGCTTAACTCGGTGGTCGCATTTAGCTGCTATAAAGCGTTCATCACCTGGCCAAATTTCAGCGGCTTTCGTTAGAGCCGTTTGCAAAAGCAAGCACAGACTTTTCCCAAACCCAGGACTCTAAAAAACTTTTGGAAACGGCCGGAAGCGGCTAGCAAACTTCATATCCTTCCGCCGTATATGTACAGGCGCCGTGGATTCGACACGGGGGTCTGTTTGGGCATCCGTTTCAAGGCATTGGCGAATGCATGAGCCTGAGCGAGTAGATCTTACTAGCGGACCCGCCGCGCAGACGTTCGTGCAGTTACGGTGCATGAAACGCGTCTTCGATTGGTGCGTTTAGCGTCCTACACCACCGCTTGCATCGAAAGTAGTCCGAAAGTGACAACATATGACGTCACATGAGCCGGCGTCTCGTGCTGTCGGATGTTGCAATCCTGGCGGTTGGTCGTAGAAGTTCCGGCAAGAAAAAAGTGCGAGCGAACGCCGGTACGTGTCGCTGTTGTCGCAGCATCCCGGCTCCTGGATGTTGAAAGCTTCCATGGACTGTCAAGTTGAGCGATCTGCCACAGAACGGACACCTGCCGCATCCGCTTCCGCTGCTCTGCCACCGCCAGGATCGCGGCACGCAGCAGCATGACAGTTCTATGACGTCATCAGACGAAAATCAAGGAACCAAATTAGAGGTCGTGGTACACACACCAGCTGGAAACCTGTTCTATAGGCTCTATAGTGCAGCCAAGGCCGATGATGATGCAAGAAGCTCGGGCTTGTTGCCTTTGGTGTAGTCCACGTTAAAGTGAGACGAATGCTGATTTTCGCCTGCTGCGTGGGGGCGGGAGTATCGCTGCCAGATCATGTAAAACCGTAGGTGAACAAAAGCATCTGTTTCTACACTACTGATTCTTATATTTCAGTACTGATTGAGATAAACTGGTCAGATGGATGGATGCACGCGTACGGTTGAACCCTACTCTCGGGCGGCAGCTTGCGCCACCTAGCTAGTGTGTTGACAGATGGCAGAGGGCGTTCATCCGTGCTCCGTTGTTTGTCGACTTCAGAACTGAAAACAAAGAACAAAGAGCGGGTTGGTGAAAATATAAAAATCAAAGAAAAAAGTAAAAATACTTAGGGACAAGGACAGGCGGCAGAGTTCTTTCAGCTAACAAATAAGGCTAGTTGAAAGAATTGTACTGTCTGTTCTTGCCCCTAAGTGTTTTTATTATCTCTTTGATTTTTGTCAGAACTAACTTAGGCGTTGGCTTTATGGTTACACTAACCATTAGAATGTTAGCTTATTTCTGCTTGCACTTTGTAGTTTCTCAGTTAGTCGTTTGCTTAGGCCTATTATAAGTGCCTTGTTGGTTGGAAATGTAATACAAACCAGTACTAACTAATCGACCCGAAAGAAGCATACAAAACGCCAGGCTAGTCAGGGCGCAAATTCACACCAAGCTACCAGACGAAGGGCTCGTGTGATCGGGATGTCAACGCGCCAAGCAGGTTCGACAAAGGTTAAGGTGAGCAGCGACGACATCCGGTCGATAATTCCCATCATCCCTAGGTCTTTCGCAGACTGTCTATTGAATACGTTGATTTTTCTTCTTGATTTACTTGCTTAATACTTCGGTGATGTTTTTCTTCTAGTGACGGATTACTTTTGTATGGTGCCTTACTGGGGCTGTCTAACTTTAACATGAACCCCAGCAAGGGTTACAAAGCCAGAACAGATGGCTTTGGTGGCAGCTTCCACTACACGTGATTTCGTGCAGCCGATGCGCCTTCCAAAACTCGGACCTCGCACTTCTTGATGTGTTCTACGTTTGGTTAAACAGATAAACGAGATATATTTAAAAATTAAATAAAAAAATGACTGATTGAGCGAATCAGTAATCAACACATCTTGGCGAGATATAAAAGGAATCGATAGGTACTTTCACTATTATTGTAAAACACCACGCGGCGAGCAGACTGGCAGTAGCTTAATATATGACTTCCATCTTACGCAGTAGACGAATCTCGTTATAACGAGGTAAAACATCGGGGGCGAAGATGAGTTCGTTATATCTGATATTCGTTGTAGGACTAAACACAGATGCACAGCCCCCGACTCATTGTTTGTCGATACATTGCTGTGCCAATAAAGTGTAAATTGAGATAATATATTATAGTACAATGTACATTAAGTCCAAACGAGTTCGTTATACCCTACATTTGTAGTAGGAGCAAACACAAGCACCGCCCTCGAGTCAGTGTCTGCTGAAACATTATTTTGTAGTGCGTCAATATATTGTACTACATTGAATCGACACATTGCAGCAGATTTTGCGTTTAGTAAAGATGAGTTCGCCACATCCGATATTTGTTGTAGGAGTAGACAGAGGTACAACCCTTTAATCAATGTCTCGTTATAACGAAGTAACATCGGGTGTCAAGATAGTTCGTCCTATCCTATATTCGTTGAAGGAGTAGATAAAGAAGTGCACTCTTGAGTCAGCGTCTCGTTATAAGGAAGTAGCATCTGGTGTCAAGATAGTTTGTTATAACCAATCTTCGTTTTAAGAGTAGATACGAAAGTACAGCCCTTGAGTCAGTCTCTCGTTATAACGAAGTAACATCGGGTGTCAAGATAGATTCATTACATCAGATATTCATTGTCGGAGTGGACATAGAAGCATAAAAGTTGAGTCAGTGTCTGCTGGTACATAGTTGACGATTGCCTCTGCTACTTGCAGAGAAGACCCCCAGCAACAGCAGGCGTCCCAGCAGCAGCAGCCGCGCGTCCCGGCGGGCGTCGGTGACGTGTCCAAGGGCAAGGAGGGCGACGACGTGTCCCTGTACGGCACCCCCAAGGAAGAGCTGGGGCCCGGGCCCGGGGGCCTGTCCGAGGCCAAGGCGTCCTTCATGCGCAACCAGCTAGAGGCCCTGTTCCAGCCGTCCGACAACAAGCTGGCCATGAAGCTGTTCGGCTCCAAGAAGGCGCTCATGAAGGAGCGCATACGGCAAAAGGCCGCCGGACATTGGATCATCCACCCATGCAGTAACTTCAGGTGAGTCCCTTTCTGCTCCTCTGGCAAGCGCTGATAAGTTCGCCTTGACGCTCGAGCTCCAGGTAGTTACGCATGAGTTCATCGACCTCATTTAAATCTGCCCTCTAAATCCGCAGGTCACAATGCGAATACACGACGAATATATAACAGTCCTGAAACGTTGGTCATACAAAAAAAAAAACTGTCTGCAGACATATTTAAGCATGTGTCCGTGTTGTTTGAAGACCGGTGCGTCGCTGCATTTCCACAGGAGCTAAGCCTTTTTCTTTCTTTACTTTTTCCTCAGGTAAGTTCGGTCTTTGCAAATTTTACGCAAAAAATGCACCATCTGATGGCAACGCTGCGCAAAGTCGAAGCGCGATAGGTTAAGAAACCGAATTTTGCGGTCGATTTAAAGAGCCTGGCTTTCCCTTGATTCACCCTGTATATTCTACCGTGTCCTCCCCAGCAATGATTTTGTCGAGGCTCGCAAACGTTCGTTTCAGTGGCTCGGCATCGCGGTATGACAAGAGAAGGTCAGCAATGGTCGCTGTAGTCAAGCGCGTGTTTAAAGCGTCTACACTTTGAGACAACTTTATATGGCAATGAAGTCGAAGCTGAGAAATCCCATGCGCTCCCGCACCTTGAGCACGATCAAAGTTATAGGCACCAAGCGCAGCCTTCACTTCTGATATGCTACAGAAAGTTGTACCCGACTTTTGATGGCACTTTGGCACAGGCGAAGGACAAAGAGCACGCACTGGAAACGGGACATCTTTTGCAAATCTGACGTTGCAACAACAAATAGAAAACGATGCATTCGCATTACGTCAGAAAACAAGGCACGACGTCATCATTAGCGGATCCCCGGCCCGCTCCAGAGCACAAAAAAAAAAAAAAAAACAGAAGCTTAAAGGCATATTGCCGCCCAGAAAACATTTATACAATTACTTCGGCACGTGACGGCGGAACTTGGTGTCACAAAGGGTGTCTCCACCCTGCTACAGCCACCGACAGCTTAAGGAACGCGGGGCGTGGCGAGTCCCGAGCCCGCAGCCAATCAGATTACGGCATAATCGAATACAAACGCCAAAGAACCCATGAAGATGCAAGAAACGCGAACACAATAGGCTACACCCTGCGTTTTTGAGCTATATAAGTGACTATGCGGGTAGAAACTGGGGAGAGGAGACGAGAGACGAACATCTAAGTGCTTGTTAAGAGGGAAGCTTGGGCGACCTGGTAATTAAATAGTATCCAGAAACAGCGTAACAAAAACAAGGACAAAAAAAAGGAAACGGACAGAAGGTCAAACAAAAGGCAATACGAAGTTCAAGTTCGTCTGCTTCTCTTGCAGATGTTGTGGTGACGTCAGAACGCCGAGCTCTGGTTGGCTCTGACTGAAAGATAGTGGATAAACCTGAAGGCAAGCTTGAAGTGTACCCACTGTCATTCAGTCAGAGCCAATCAGAGCTAGGTGTTCTCACTTCACCACAACACACGCAAAAGAAGCAGACGAACTTCCGCTCCGCATACAACCTAGAAGACAAGGACCATGCATGAGGTCATCGTAGGTGGATCCCCGACGCGTCCCAAGTGGCAAGCGGGCTGAAGCTCGCTCCTCACGAAAGATCTATTGGGCCAGGGCGTATTATACGCACCTTCCAATGAATTTCAGCGGACGCGGAATACGGACTATCCAGCGCTTTGAACGTGACACGCGACTGCGCGCAACGTAACCTACAGCGCCTCTCTTGAAGGACTCAAGAGTGACACTCACACGACCTTGGACTGGCTTCGACGGGTCATAGCGTTTTCCCCGGTCCATCGTAAGCTGAAACGGACTGTAGCGATCGAAGCGCCAGCAGCGATACAGCGACCGTGGTGCAGCACAGTCGGTCCCGACTGTTTCTGACAGAGGAATAATCGGTACTTTTGTTTACAAACTTTTTCCTCTTTTTTGATGCAGCGCCATTTTATTGCGTCCGCACGAACGTTTCCGTAATCTCAACCCAAGACGAAGCGGTCAGAAACGAGATGCAGCAACAAACGTTTAGAGAGAAAAGGAAAGTTGCCCCCTTTTTCTACAGACACATATACAAACACACACACACATATATATGTACACACATAGAAACAAACTCTGGAAGCCCATCAGCGCTGCCCTATGCATCCGAGAATCCCGTAAGAAACAAAGTAAACGAAGCGGAATGAAAAATGATGCGAGCGATCCCCACCCGTTCGTTCGGCCTCGCCTTGCATCTTTGGTTTCCCGCTTGATACGATTTCGGGAATGCCCGTCGTTTGCCCTCTTTCCCCCTTTTTCTTCACAATTTCCCAGTTCCCGTTTTCGTCTCTCTTCTTTTTGTTCTCCCGTTTTCTTTTTTGATTGCTGTTATTTCTTTCTCCCCGTCTCCGCAGTTCACTGATCCAATCCGGAATATTCCTGTACACATCTTATTTCTACTTTACTTCATAACGTTTCTTGTACTCGTATATTCCCTTTTTCCTTTTGTTATGTTGTTTTCACTCGTTTCCATTTCCGCGTGCATCGGCCCTACACTATCCTTAACAGGACACTTGAGCACAGCGTTTGATAGGATTTGCCCGCGTAGCGACGTTTTTAAAAGTAGTTACGCGGGAAACGTCTGCGTCAATACACTCACCGCATGCAAACGGAAAACACGGAATACTGACATTTTAGTGAAAAACCCGAGACTGAGGTATTGACAGACGACGACGAGGAAGAGAAGGAGTAGTTACGCGGGAAACGTCTGCGTTTCCTCTTCCTCACCGTCGTCTGTCAATACCTCAGTCTCGGGTTTTTCACTAAAATGTTTGGTATACACCGGCTCACTTACGCTCTTACGTTCTGCTCATGAATACTGACCAAACTTCCAAGATTACGCGCAAGAAAGCTATCATAAAAAAAAATACTACAATCTAGCTTTTTTCGGGGCTTGGAATATATAGTGTGTTTCAAGTCACCAGACTCGATCTAAAATGAACCGTAAAAATCGACGCCTGCACGTAGCCATCTAAACTTTTCGTCAAAGGTGTATTTCACAGGTCGGTTTTTTCTTGTAAAATTACAAAGCGTAGTTCTCTTTTAGTAAAAAATAGGGCCAAGAAACTTGCCAGGGTCTACGGCGGGCGGCGACCCAGACGACCAAGTCGAGTAGCAAGGTGTATTTGGGGTTCGTATTGATAGATGGCGTCGGGAGCAGCGTCTGAAGGTGCAGCAGACCAGCGAAATATTAGCCCCGCGAAGTTTGCGTGGCGCCCCCTTACGGCAAACGGGGGTGACGTCACGGCGAGGAGAGAATTTTTCCCCGACTCGCCCTGTGGAGGCTGTGACGATGCTAGCTGTCGGCGCGCTCGTTTCTATTTAATTTTTTTCTGGCGTGTTTTTCGTAGGAAGTATAAATGTTTATATGTTCCTTTATTGAGGTATGGCCTGTAGCCACAGGCAAACTTCAACCAACATGCATGGTTGACAGGGCAGGCAACGGATGAATCGCAGCTGGTATATGGAAATAAAGAAATATGGCCACAATTGCAGGAGCATCACTATAGATTTACATCTCGCACTATAAATGCCACTGATGGTCTGAATGAATTGGCAGGTTACGTATACTATTTTTTTTTTTTTTTTGTATTTCCGTTTTTAAACAAGATCGCCGAAGCAGAAAAGTTGCATGCTGCTCGAGCAACATGCTAAATACAGTCTGGGCCATGGGGAGAGAATCGCAAGTAAGACAGCCCAAGTGCAGGGGCAAAGTAAAACAAAAAACAAAAAAACAAGGAACATTTGTTATATACATTGCTCGCATTTGACCTTTGCTGGATTCGGATAGTATTTTAAAGGACTAGACGTGTATTTGTGGACTTGTTTATATCAACCCTCAAGTAATGCATAACAAACGTAAACGAATGTGTCTAGCTCATTATTAGTCCCAAGCTAAGCCCTAAAATTGAGATTTTACTTGAATCGAATCGTCCTGAAGCTAAAATACCAGAAGCTTTTCTCACGCAGACTGTCGCCCTTACAGGTTCCACATTCTCTGCTACTAGTGCTGCATCTACCACTGGACAGATGTTCGAATGCTTGCTTTTAGTCCTGTTTTCCTCTGTTGTCAGAGAGTCCAGCTGTAGGGAATTTTGAGGCTGAGGAAGCTTTTGGAGACCTGCAGCAGTGTCTCTTTTAATTGGAAATGACAATTCAGACTAAACGGTGTATTTTCTGAATACCCAAGGATGGAATAAAAATGTCAGGAAAGAGTATAAACATTCCAAATTACGGCACTATTGCTGTGCATATTTTGGGCAGTTCAATACATATCATACAGGCAACTGGGGGCAATTCGGCCGTCTTTGCTGCTACCATACAAACTAATTTCCAGTAATTGTGCATCTTCTAAGAAATATGCCTGCATACGTGTATAAACTATATAATTAATTCACGAAGAAGCTAGATTTATGTAAAACGATCCTGTTCCACGAGCACTTCAGAGATAATCAGACACAGGGCCTTTAAAACATCTATGAACCAGTTCATGCAGAGTGGCAGCGCAAAGTCGGGGTCGCGAGCTAATTTGCCGACCATTCAAAGGCACATGATATAAATGCCACTTCAAATGCCTTGAAAGCGGGATGTATAACCGTCCTAAATCATGAACATGCAAGGAACAGAATTCCAGCGTCTGAAACACTTGCGCCACCGCTTCACCGATCCCTCGCGAAATTGCCTTGTGTCGTGTGGACGGACGGGGAGGCTCATCGGCGGAATTGCCTCCGCCGATAGCTTTCGGGATTTGTAACCCAATTTTAAAGGGAAAAGGAACGAGCAGGCTTATAAAATGTACGGAAGCTGGTCAATATCGGCCTAACTCAACGTCTTGTACATCGGGTAAATGAAGTCCAGCTCCTCGAAGTGTTTGCGGCACACAACGCCAAACCAGGAAACCGGTGCTGGGAAGCGAGCCGATGCGAGATCGCGGAGCGGAGTCATCGCCCTGACGTCACAGTACGCCTCACCCAATCAGGGCGCGGCGACCGCAGCGACGCTTGTGTTCGCTCTCGGGGCTAATAGCAGACGACACGCAGACGAAATCCGTTGGCAGCAAAAGTGCCACCGTTATGCAGACGCGTTTTTTTACTTTAAGTTTTGCTTTTATTGTTCGCATTTATTTTTTAACCGAAGGTAGATTTCAAAAAGATTATATTCATTTTAATAAACCAAGGTGGTCGCGAGCCCTCGCGATAAGGAGGTAGCGCCATCTATCAATAGAATCGATTCGCCCAACCAGGGGGCGCTTCGAAATTGCGATGGTAGCGCCACCGCAGTACAACACATGGTCGTGTCGCGCCGGTCGTGCTCGTAGCGTTGCATTGGCGTCGCAGGTATTTCGAGCGTACGGTGAAGATTTAGAGAAGGATAGAAAGCGTGCGAGAAATATTTCTCATGGTGAGTCAAGAAACGATAGAGAAGCTTCAATAACACGCATCTTCCACCGAGAAAGCGGTTGATTTCCCCGCCAACGAGTCGGGTCCGCCTCGCAAGTACGACCGTGCCGGCCGTGCGGCGTCTACGAGATAACTTTACAGGTGAGCGGCACTTGTTTAAATTTTGCGCTGTAAAACATTGTGCCTTAAAGATTACTGATCACAATGAACCACTGTTCTCGTGAGTCCTGTTAGACGACGTCGGGATACTATTTTTCGGTCGCTGAACCACCGGCAGACTACGTTCTCGCACTAGAGGCTACGAGTGGGATAGCTTTTCGGGCTCGCCCACGTCGAAGAAATATTAACGTGTCGGGGATCGTGCGGGCATAGGGTGATAATTCCGGGAAGAGATAAGTCCCCCGCGTACAGTTGAGACTGCAGGTCCTCGCTGGGCTGGAGTCGCGGATCGGTGCGAGCATTGTGCCGACGCTCGTAATGTTATTAGTATTGTTGAACACGCGTCCTCATCAGCCTGCCTCAGCAGTAGGGAACTAAAACGCCAGGGCACGACCTGAACAAAGGCCTCGTAGATTTATTACCAGGTTTTTTTGTCCGACTTCACTGAGGCAGTAGGTTGCAGTTACTGGGGACCTGCTCCTGCTGATTAATGGTACTTTTTCTGCGAGTTTGAACAATAATGTGCTGCGAGATTCTGTCAGAAAGAAGGGCGAAACAGTTGAAAACGAAAAGAGGCTAGCCTAGACTAAATCTCCAGCATAAATGTCTGCTATGCATATGACTGCACATAATTTTAGTCGAATTTTCATGACAATGTTCAGTTGGATGGATTTATAAAAAAAACTTAATTTCTCTTTCAGGTTCAAGTTGTCCAGTCCACATGCAAGATTTTCAAATATTGGGTGGGGGCTTGATTCATACTTTACTGTGTGGGACATTTTAGGAGGAAAATGTTGTGTAGCAAAGAAAACACCAGTGACACATGATAGGTTGTCATTAGTAGAACAATTTTTATTTTCTGGAAAAATAATCCATGCCTGTCAGTGTTTCATTGCTGCTTCACTGAATAAAGTTTCTTTCGTGGCATGTTGGCATGTTTTCAAGCGTTTCCAGGAATGTACCGTATTTTCCGGGCTATGCTTTTAAAAATGAAAATTTTAGGCTGTGCGGACTATGCGGGATTTTTGTTTTTCAATATCGTTGATTATGACGAGACGGATTTTGTGAATGAAAGGGTATGTTAATGATAATTTATGTATAATACCAGCTTCTTTTTGCGCTAAGAAAGCAGACATTTCTCAAGGTGTGCTGTCTATGAGAGGATATTCGTGACAACTAAGCACCAGGTGCAGACGATGCTCTGTATGTGTACAATGTAAGCAAAATCTATTTTTTACCCCAAATTTGCCCCTGTGGACTATAGTCTGGAAAATATGGTACAGCAGCATAATGCATCGCTTTCAGAAATGTTTTGTTGACAGTGAAAACGATTTTTATTGAGTTTTGTCACAACCACGGGTAGGTAAACACACAACCTTGTGACAATATGAAAATTCTTCTCGTGCTCTTAACACGGTGACATTGGCGTAGACTCGAAGTATGGCTGGCAGGACACTTGCAGATGATGTACACATCTCGAGAAGCAAGGACTGTCCAAGAAATTGTAGGGCCAAGAACCCCGACTATTTCAGAGATCTTGCATGGCAGATCAGCTGTTCAAGATATTCCAGATCGCACGAAAGATGTCTCCCAGTTCGTGAGAAAGCAGTCGTCACCTAAGCTTATCCATCTTTAGCCAAGCTATATTGAATCTTGGGGTACAGACTAAACCAAAACGTGCAACTCGAAGACGAAAGAGACTACAGAAGTTGCCAATGAACTAACGATACTTTTAACTGGCTAAGAACCGGGCACACATAGATAATGCAACATAGATGAGGAAAGGTCACCTGCATCTTCGAGCGAGGGAGTGAAAATTAATTTAAATTAACTAAGAATCTTTCACGAGCAATTACAGGGTTGGTAGGTTTCCTGCAATTAGTCTTTATTAAACACCTCAGCTGGCATCTCGTCTAGTGACTTGTTGCAGGATGAGCCTCAGCGTTGTCCTTGCAGGTGTTCACGAAGTGCACGTTGCAGATCCTCGCTGACGTTGGCGGAATCAAAACTGAACCGCCCCCACTGAAAAATAAGTCAATAATATAAGATCTCTGGTGTGATCAGCAGAAAATCGACACGAAATAATAGAAACTGTTATTGTCCCTTGCAAGTAAAAACATAATCAGGCTTTCTTTTTATTTTAAAAAGGAGGGGGGGGGGGGGGGGGCAGGCTGGTTGAGGCTGTTTGGAAGTGCATTCCTTGTGTGTGTTGTTTGGGAGGGGGGGGGGATGCATGTGTATATTATAGCGTCGTACATGATGGCTATAAACAGCTAAAGAAAACGGGAACAGCGATTAAGAAACACACACGGCAGAAGAAAGCTGCAATCGCACCCTTTCAAAAGCCCCTCCCCTAGCTAGAAGTGTTCTGACAAAGTCAGAACGGCAGGCAGGGCGTCTCTTGTGAACGGCCGATCTCCAGCACGTCTTCGTTGCCCTTCGTTGCGATGTGGCTGCACGTGAACGCTCGATGGTCGCGAGATAGAAACCCTGTCGACGGTTCGAAGCTAGTGCTGGAGGAACTGAAGCTTCTCCCTGCCGTTCTCACCCTGCCAGTGATTGTAGTTGAAATATTCGTGCCAAAGGGATCCAACATCGCGACCGAAGCCCCGTCAAACACCTCGAGGGAAGCGACAGACGCGCACAAAAATCAGATATTCCGTCACGCAGGCACTGCCAACTGACTTTCCCGCGTTCGGTAGTGATTCTGTTTCTATTTTGACACCAATTCTATTTAGTTTTTCCCGCGTATTTAGCAAAACTGATCTTCCAACGAACGAGAAACTTACTTTTGTCGGAGCACCGACGTGGTCCAGGCTTGGCGCCGTTCGAGTCTCGCACGGCTTTTCAGGGAAGCGGTAGAATTTTAAGGATCGACTACAACAACATCGGAGATTGTTGCTGCGATCAACAACGAGATGTTCGTGCTAGCCGGGCTTTTATATCGTCTCTATCGCAATGAATGTTATATCCGACCGCCTACGACGGAGAAGCGAGGCGAAAAACAACGAGCCACTCGGACTCGGGCGTCCCGCCAGGGGCTGGAATGGCGCTGTAGTCGGCGGCGAAACTTGAGCGCTTCGGTCCTATACGAACGCCAAACACACCCCGCTACTGGACCCCTGTCGTCTGCGTTGCTGCCCGCCGTAGATTTTGGCAAGTTTCTTGGCCTTGTTTTTTACAGAAAGAGAGCTACGCTTTGTAATTTTACAAGAAAAAACGGACCTGTGAATTACACTTTTGAAGAAAAGTTTAGATTTCTACGTGCAGGCTACTGTAGTGCAGGCGTCGATTTTTACCATAGAGTTATTATAATGTACGCTAGAGGTTCAACTGGCGCTAGTGTGCTGTTGCAAATTGAAGCAGACAGCAAGCAGTCCGAAATTGACTTCCGGTAATGCATTTCTACGGAAAAAAGCGAGTGCATTTCCTCTCTGCGCTCGATTATAAGAGCAAATATCACGAATAATTCGTACCTAGTAGGCATATTGGAACATTTCCCAGTCACGCAGATGAATAACTGGTCAGTTACGGCGTTTTTATTTTAAAATCGTGGCATGCAAAACGTTGCTAAAACTTCTTCGTACATGTATGTATGCGCACTGCCGGACACTGTTAGCGCGAACACGGCGTCGGCGCTTTCCAGCATTGGGGATTTACGTGCCAAACGAACGAAGTACATGTGGAAAACCAAGTGAGACGGCAAGAACTATGCAGTAACACTGAATAAGTAACTGCTTGTGCTTGCAGACGATCAAAATAAATTGAAAGTCACGTAATATAGTCCGATTTGCAATAAATAAGTACTGCTTTATTCTTTCTGCTCATGAATATGTGCGAAGATGCTTGTTCTGTGTTCAAATCATCACCCGCACGCTCCAAATCTTTGAAAATAGGGGGAAGCCAAAGAACAGGTGCGCGATAAAAACTTCCCAACATAGGAAATAATAAGGAAACACACCTTTGTTAGCCCACGTACTTTATTCTTTACGTGTCTAACGTTTTTTTAATCACTCGTAAAGGTGCACGACGCGGTCATTTTCATACAGTGAGAGGACAGGCATACTACAATATATAAGCACCAACGAAATGCTGGCGAACTTTGAACACACTCCACATTCCTTTCGATCGTTATTTTGCTTAGAATCGTCGCGTTTCTACATACCTGCCATGGAACAAAGGTTTGGGCCTGAAATCTGGCGAAGTTTAACATCGTTCAGAAGTAAAGGAAAAATGTTGTAACTAAAGCTATTACACTTTCACAATATTAATAAAGGTACATACTATCCAGTACAACCGATATAACAAAAGTCATTGATATTATTTTCCGGCGACGAGACACAATTCACGCGCGTTTTCCCATAGGAATACACAGGAAAACTGGAAAAGTAGACTGCATGCTGTCTGCTTCAATTTGCAATCGGAAGTCCCGTAGACACTAGCGCCAGCTGAGCCTCTAGCGTTTATTATAATAACTCTATGATTTGTACGGTCCATTATAGATCGAGCCTGGTGACTTGGACCACCCTATAAATTCATCCGTTCAGTATGGCTCCGCATTCATCCATCTAACCATACATTATGGACACAACTAGCAATGAATAGTAACGGCTTAGCAGCAAGAAATCATCAAACTTGAGTTTTTTAAACCACGGTGGAATAAATTGGCAAAATTTTCTCTGTCCGTCCATCCGTACGTGCATTTCCCGATAAATTTAACGCAACTTCACGTGACCTATTCAAGAATTCAGTTTGCCCACTTAAATCACCGGGAAAATTGACGTCACAAGATATACAAACCAATTTCCCCGCTAAATTTAGCAGAAAAAAAATTAATGTCACGTAACCTATACACCAAGTACTAAGTTTTCCCTTTAAATTTGGCGGGGAAATTCATTTCTCGCGACCTGATGTCACAAGGCCTACAAAAACAAAAATTTAATATTTCCGGTAAATTTAGCGGTAAAATTGATGTCACGCGACCTGACGCCCCGTGACGGATTACACCAATATAGTTTCCCGCTAAATTTAGCGGGAAAATTGACAGACCTTTGTACCAAGCCAGTTTTCCCATTATATTTAGCGAAGAAATTCCTAAATATATCGGAGTGCATTATGTGTATTGTAGGACTTTAAAAATAAAGATCGCTGTCCATTTCTTTCTTCTTTTTTTTACATTTTATATTTATGGGTGGAGGAACTCTGCTTCAATAGCACGGCTGGCAACAATACGTACCCTCCAAGAAATTTGGGGCGTCTATCTTTCCTGCAAAGCACTCGAGGAAGACAGTCGCTGCAATCTAAGGGAGGAAGCTCGGCGAATAAGTCTACTCGTTTGCACCCCAAAAAAGAAAACACAAGTTTTGCGCTTTGTCGGAGGAGGAAGCGACGCTTTTGGCATTTGAACCGTGCACGTCTTGATAACATATATCTCGTCTAAATTGCACCTACTTATATCTTAGTACTCTACATAAATGGGGAAATTAGTAATGCTCTCCAAAGAGTTGGACCCTTTTTTTACCGCAGTTCTTCAGGTGAAAACAAGTATAGACTGAACATATGACCTAAGAAAAACTGGGCTGCGTTGCTGGACATGGTGAAACCTCATGATGAATGGCACATCTTCATGCGTAGGCACTACGGGCTTGTTAAGGTGGTATATCAAGTGAGTATTGTTGCTGACAATTCAGCGAGCGGTGAAAACGACAAAGAAAGCAACTTTTTTTTAGGCGTGAAAGTCACCCGCCTAAAAATTTCTGAACGCAATATTCCAGCTTCGTGATCCTTTCCACAACGGTTAAACTCGTTGCACATAAACCGACTAACGTAGAAGTTTGGGCTAGTAGGTATTTCATGATTAAAAATTAAAACAGCGCCTTGTTCGTCTACCTTCTTGTTCTTGTCCGTGTCCTTGTGCTGTTTTACTTTTTATACATAAACCGTTTTTCATTGAGATTTTTCGAGCGATCTTGAGCTACATTTACGTGAATGCAATCGTAGCGCATCGGATCAAGCAGGGACCAATCACACGCAACCCATCTTCCTTCTTCTTGCTCTTCTAACCATGTGCCACCAATCGTAATAGTAAAATCTCGATTCGATGAGCAACAGTCGCACCCATGTAAAATGCAAACCCTGTTCATATAGACCAGAGGTCTCCAATCGTTTTGTCTAAGGGGCCGGATCGAGGGATATATGTCGCTGTCTCCAGGATCAAAAAATAGATAAGTAGATATAAATGAGGCAAGTCTAAATAAATAACCGCACAAAAAAAAAACATTTTATAGATTGTTTTAGGTAGACGAATACGTCTCCTTTATTTATAAATCCAATATTTAGCTAACTACAACACTGCACAATCATTGGGACCCAGGAAACTCATGAGCCATTAATCGAAGGGCATAGAAACTTTGGCATGTTTCAACAAGCCAAAATTTTTAAATTTTTTTAAATTATGGCAATATATATGATAGATACGACACAGTGCATTCCGAGCAATATACACAAGAACGCGTAGGAATTTGAACATACGTAGTGACACAGATACGAAAAAGGGGACTAAGAAGGGCCATTGATGAGAATGGCCGATGAATAATATGACGAGAGGACACACCTTACAATAAGCAGTTTTCTCTCTTTTTTTTTTTCTTTTCTTGTTTGGGGGGGGGGGGGGGGGGGGGTGGTAATTTTGTTTACGCGGTTGCGGCGCTGTTTTTTTCCGCGTGCGCATAGACTAAATTGCAGTTGTCGTTTCAATGACGTCACAGAATTACTCTGCCTCGGCTAAGACATCGCGGTTAAATAGCTACTGGAAATCAAGAATACCGGGATAATTTCGCTAAAATAGCATCTCCTCAGAGCCAAGCTCTGCCACTGGGAGATACTACGAACGAACTGGATTCCTCGGCATTCTATTGTACACGACAAATTAGTATCAGGAAAAAGGTCAAATCAAATGTAAACTAAATCAGTTTCGTCGTGAATTACTGAAGCACCGATTACAGTAATTAGTCTAATATCTAAATAAAATTATTTTATGATTAAAATTGATGAAATCGAGAAGTAATTTCAATGAAACGCATTGGGCGAGCGGAATGGGTTAGGCCTGAAGTCAGTTACATTCGGCTACATGAGACTCTTGTGACAATTACTTAGCCACCAAAGGCAATTGTAATATTTTTTTTTTAATTTATAACTTGGTTTGTATAGCTCATAATATAAGGAGTACTTTGTTTAATTTATTGTGACATGTGCGTCGTACACCGACTTTTGATCTTATTTTAGATCGGCTATCGTTTTACGACTTTTACCAGATTTTACCGTATTGTATCACTGAGACTATACCCGATTTTCTACTGAACGGATGTTCTGCTGTAAATCAGGTCGTTAGAGAGTCGCCACTCATTGTGTAGCTCTGATGAAGCAACAACGTTTCTGAACCCCGAGGACGATGCGCGATTGCACCGGCCATATTTGTCGCCTCTCCTACGCATAAAAATAAATAAATAAATATAAAAAAGAAAGCATATAAATTCCCTTTCAATATGCAAGCCCCCGATGTAATAAAAAAAGTGTAAACAAAGAGAACAAACAAAAATAATCATAAAAAAGGATGGTGCTCGAAGGCGACGCCCTTAAATTTACGACCCGAAAATTGCCATCGTCTTTAAAGCACCACTTTAGCGCTCCCTGCAGTCTAGCCACGCCATCTTTTATAAAGTGGCTGAAAATAAAGTAGGAAAAAAAAAAAACACGAACGCGCCGTAAAGAAAGAAATGGAAACCAATTTTGCCTTTGATGCGCGGCGGCTTTTAGTGTTCCTTTCTGAACTGGCTGAGCGTTTATAGTGGAAATAAAATTAGATATGTAAAACAGGTTCATTCTGCTTCAGATTGAAACCTATACCCTCCTATTTATGCGAACGAAAAAAAAAAAAAACTAAGATATTGCGCCGTGGAGCCAAACACGAAAAACAAAAGGACAAAAACGGTTTAATATTTCGAATGCGTTAGAGGCGCGAAGGTTGTCGAAGGCGACGGCGAAACTATCAAATCTTCGCTCCCCGTTCAGTCGATTGCAGAGTCCCAATTCTGGGAATGTGGTACTTTCATGCATAATTGAAAAGTACAACTTACTACCGTGTGGTGACGGCAGAGAGGGGGGGGGGGGGGGGTGCAGGTCATTATTCGTTACGTTCGGATTTCAAGTTAACTTTCACCACACATTCCCTGCCCTTTAAAAAAAAGAAAAAAAGAAACAAGAAATTTAGCCCATCAACGCGAACAGTAGAAGAATCCCAGCTAATGACGAAATTTGGAGTATGATTAGGCCTGTAAAAAAAATGATGCGAAAACGTCACGCTTGCTAACCCAGAACAAATCATAATTTTCGAGTCGGAAAGGTTCTTGATTGGCTGTCCCCGTGTTCTACAGGAAACTGTCACCGAGCCAACATGATAATTTCGGACCATATAACTAGAGTTCAGTGTTTTCGGATGAGTCTGGAGAAGAAAAAAATATCCGAAAAACACTGGCCGGTGAATTTTCCGTAAATTCGAATTTACCCGAAAAACATAAAATATTACGGTCACAACGACAAAAGAAAACCGGTATTTTACAAATACACTTTATAAGAGCACAGGGTCAGTGGTCCTGAAGAAAGTCCGCTTCGGTTTCCTTCGGAATCTCGAACTACGTGTAGTTGTTTGCCTTCGATGTCCCTCTTTCGTTATTATAAATTAGAAACCAACACGCTCAACCATTTACGTGACGAAAGGGGTTTGCCACTTAGCTCGTCGGGGCTCCTGCCGGACAACGGGTAACGGTACCCAGACTTTATATATTTCGTTTTTGAATTTTTATGAAACTGGGAACACACTAAAACTAACTCCGAATTTCGGAGAATTGATGATCTAACTAAACCAGGCTCCGATGAACCCCAAATTTTCAGCGAAAAATAAACTTAGAGAAAAAATTAAAAAAAAAAAAAAAACACCATCCGAATTTTGCGAGGAATAAAACTCCGAAAACACGGAATCCTAGATAATCTCGTTCGCTAGCGGCAGCTGAGCAATTTCAAAGTCCAAGTTTCGCATTCCAAAAGATAGCAGACTTCCTTTATTTGCCGTGCTGGCGGGAGATGGAGGCACATCGACAGGTATATTTTGCTAAAGTCGTTGACCACTTAAGGAACGCGGGGTATAGCCAATCATATTCACGCATTTCAGTTGATTATTCGTTTTTCGGTGTTCTTATTGGCTTCAATGGACTAGCCACACCCTGCGGTTCTTAATCTACCAGTCACTATAGTGGAGACATTATAGGCGTAGCAAAAGGACAGATTGAGTGTCGTAATTCACACTGCCCAGGTATCTTGTGGCGTTCCTTTCCTTCCTAATGTACTTTCCCTGTCAGAACTTTTTTTTTTTTTGTGCTAGAATATTTGTTTTGAACTGCGGCTTACCGCTCTGCCCTGGAAGTGAAGGCCAGCCTCAAAGCCTGGAGTCCTTCCGCGCAGGTTCTACTGGGACCTGTGCATGCTGCTGCTTCTCGTGGCGAACCTCATCGTTCTGCCCGTGGCCATCTCGTTCTTCAACGATGACCTGTCCATCCGGTGGATCGCCTTCAACTGTCTCTCAGACACAATCTTCCTGTTGGACATCGTCGTCAACTTCCGAACGGGTGAGCGGTCACAGACCCACCCCGTGGAGGCTCAACTCCACGGAGCCAATGCGGAACGCAAGTTCGTCTGCGTCTTTTGCAGGGGTTGTGGTGAAGTCAGAGTGCCGCGCTCTGATGGCCTCTTATTGAAGGAGAGTGGGTAAACCTCAAGGCAGATTGTTTTGAGGTATATTCCTTATCCTAGAATCAAAGTCACCGCAACCCCTGTGCAAGAGGCAGACGACTTGCTCTTCGCATAGAGAGTTTTAGAATAGGGATGGACCCCAAGGCTTCAGGTTCCCCGAGCAGCAGGAGGCGCCGCACTGCGCACGCGCACAAGTTCTACGCATGCGCAGTGCGCCGCCCCAGGCTGCTCGGGGTGCTTAAAGTGTCTCTCCTAAAACCGCAGTCACTCTGGTCGTACATCACACAAGAAACACGGAGTTTCTCCGCGGACATGACAACAAAAGTATCCGCGGACACGCCTCAACCATGTATGAAGCATTTTGACATCATAAATACGTATGTGTGCCTCCATCTTGTCTGCATACAGTTTTTGTGGCATCGTACAAGGAACAAACACAGCTCAGGCAGTGTATGCAGACTGTGTTTTGTACAATGCATAAGCCGTGTGAGCGACGTGCCGTCGGGCGAGGTCCGTCGGTTCTTCGTCGCATACTCTCTCCACGGAGTCCCTACGCTCTAAGCAATATGAAGCGCCTACTTTCCCGTAAATCACTTGGAACAGCCAATCGCTGCGATCTACGGAGGCAACTCGCCGAATGACGAGGATGATAATATGTTTAAAATTAGTAGGCGTCATCTCCTCTTCTCCTTTGACACCGCAGGAATCATGCACCAGGACAACTCGGAGCAAGTGATCCTGGACCCGCGGATGATCGCCCACCACTACATCCGCACCTGGTTCTTCCTGGACCTGATCAGCTCCATTCCGCTCGACTACATCTTTCTCATCTTCATCCAGGACTACAGCGACAGTTTCCAGCTGCTCCACGCGGGCCGCGCATTGCGCATCCTGCGCTTCGCTAAGATGCTCAGCCTCCTAAGGCTACTCAGGCTGTCGAGGCTCGTTCGATACGTCAGCCAATGGGAGGAGGTCTACGTGAGTACCTTTCTCCTTTCTACCGCTGCGGCCCTTGCCCCGTACGCCCTTCCCAGCGCTTATCAGCCGGGCGAAAAATGCTGAATCACTGGCTTGTGGACGCATGCGCGGCGTCTGATCTTCTGCAGAAGAGAGCTACTGCGCATGCCCAGTACGCGCTGCACAGTCCAGTTGACAAAGATGGCAGCGCGAAGAAGGCGTTTTTGGAATGGTCTATATACGAAGCCGTCAGAAAATGAGATAGCGGTCCGATCAGCGATTACACTATTCTCACGAACCCGTCGTTGAGGACACCTCCTTGATGACAAGGCCGCAGTGCTGAATGTTTTACGTCACATACTGAGGGCCAGCGGGTGTCACTTATATTGAACTCGAGAGCCTCATAAGCGTTCGGCAGGAAATTGTGCCCTCACAGACTGAACGCGAGTACCAGCCAAAGGCAGCCCTCGCGCTCAATCTGTATCTCGCGCCGGCCTTTGGAAAGTGACGTAGAAAATACACCCTCACGGCCTTGCTATAAAGGAGGTGTTGGTTGAGGTCACATCATCCTCTGACGGGAGAGGAAGAAAGTATATGGTACCTAAAAGGACAACAAAGTTAGCACAAATAACAATAAACTCGCACGACAAAAAAAAAAAAAAAGATTCTGACATTGTTAACAAGGTTTTGAGGTCCTTAAGCTTTCTCTGACATCTTTTGGATACAGTTCTGGACAAGAGCAGTTAAAATGCATGCCAACGCATAGCCTTCGCTTGTTGATACTACAGGGCGGTGACCATAGGAGTGTTTCTCGAAGACGTCTCTTGGATACATCCTTAACTAACAGATCCCGCACAGAGCTATCAGGCTGCGCGAAATTTACACTTGTGCTCTAGTTTGTTTTGTCGGCGTTTATATACCCGCACTTAATATAAACCGAAGCACAGAGAAAGAAAAAATGTTTGCACAGTACCACAGTTTATTGGATACAAGATCTATTGTACGATACCGAAGAAGACCGACATTCTGACCTATCGAATCAACGCTTGGTTCCTAAAGACTGGCATTGTCTAGCTCGTTTAGAACGGAGTGTCAAAGACTCTTCACATTCGTGCAAAACGTATCAGCCCAGAAACAGACAATAGCGTCAGTCTTCAGGTGAGTAGATAAGGCCGTCGGTCCATTCAACCGTGGGCCCATCATACGACGGCCTTGCCTCAAATCACCCGGACGTGGGATGGAACAGTGTCATTGATATTTCGATACGCCGTAATACGAGCCCGACACAACGGCATCTCCAGGTATCACGTGGCAACCTTTGTCCAAGTTGGAGAAGGACGGTCGGTCTAGCCGCGGCAGTTATAGGGTATTGCTCCGTTTCGGTAAACAAAAACAGGAACGAAACTATTGGAAATCTAAAAGTTGAACCCCGGCGCAGACGGTCTTCGACGCTCACGCCGTATACATGCATTTAAGGCTGGACTCCACTGAGCGAAAAAAACGACGAATTTCGCCCGGCGGCGTTCGCTCTCCGCGTAGCCGGTGGCTGTTGCGCCACGCGCAAAAGCGAACGCGCCGCCGGGCGAAGTTCGTCCGTTCTTGGCCGCATATTCGCTCCAGGGCGCACACTCCTACCCAGAGGCGAAGTCGAATGAAGCTCTTCAGAAATTCCCGATTTTTGATCTATTTCGAGGGTGGAGCGCTTAAAGTACAGGAGTTCGCAGCTTGAGGGAAGTTCAAATGAGTATGCATTAACTAAGTTACAGAGTACATTAGTGAACACTGAAGATATCAGACTGGTAAAGGCAATAGGAATGCAGCTGAACAATCTCTTTACCTCCAAGTCTGGCATCATCATTTGCACACCTGTTTCCCTTACGTTTATTTCTGTTGCTTTAACTTCCCTCTCGGATTATATTTCCTGATCGCCCCAACTTTTGGCGGTATATGTTGGTCTCAGTTAGCACGTTCGCGTTCATGACATCGGCCCATATCCGTAACCTGTATTGTTGCGTCTGAAGGACAACTATGTAAACAACTCACAGATATTCGACAATTGGTGTTAATGGGAAGTTTTAGAAACTTGTGTTTCCGTATAGAACGATACTGGCATCGGAGGCACTCACTGACCCTTCGAAGTATGCTTTGATGCTCATGTCCGTTACGACATGGGACCTGTGAGAACGATTTGTTAAAACTCTGCTAAAAGCTTCTTTTGCGATACGATCCCGGCAGTTACAATAGGGAGGTAACGGTAACGATGTGTCGATAGCGTTACGGTAAAACTCTCTTGTATCCGTTATATTTTCGACCGAGCGTTTTTTTCTACTGAAAATATTGTTCAACGAAACATGTTATAAAGGACGTATTCGTTCGGAATGACTGTATCGGTCACGAGGGGCGTGTGACATATTATTATACGAAATAATTACCTAAAAGCCACTGCGTAGCTTTTTATTTTTAATTAATCGCCCAAGCCGAGATATTTCAATTCGTTCTTGTAGACCATCATCAGATTAAGCTATCACCACGGCAACAGTTCTTCGAATAAGCGAGTAAATAGAGCTTTCGGGACGGACCACCACATCAGTCTACAGAGTGCATGTAAAATACCGTAACACGTCCTCGTTATGTGCCCTCGTGATTTTTCTTCAATCACGTTGCATGCACCTAGCCAACTATTGCGGACATTCGCGTTCAACCTCCAAGTATCTGATCTGAAACAACGCTAGCCCTTCTTTTCCAGATCACTAAATATATAGTCCAAACAGCAAATCTTCCACCCCCCACCTAAACTGCGGGATAACAAAACTAGTCCACAATAAGAGTAATTAACCAGCGAATAACTGCATGGCAGACGCATCACCAGTGGTTAGCCTCCCATTTGTAATAAACTTTCATCTTCATTGCACAAACTATGCATTGTTTAGGTTTTTGTTTTCATTTTTTTTTGTTGGCGACTCGCTCGTTTATTTTCATATCTGTTCATATGTTCACTGTTGTGTTGCTGACTTTTATTACGTTCGCGTAGACATTATGTGCACACTGAGTGGCTCCCTATTTCAGTAGTATGCGGAGCGAAAGTCCGTCTGCTTCTTTTTGCAGGAATTATGGTGAGGTCAAAACGCTGAGCTATGATTGGCTCTGATTGAAGAATAGTGGGTAGAGCTCAAAGCAAGCTGCCTTGAGGTCTACCCTCTATTCTTGAACCAGAGCCAATCGGAGCTCGGCGTTTTTCTGACGTCACCACAACCCCCCCCCCCCCCCCCCCCCCCCCGCAAAAGAAGCAGACGAACTTGCACCCCGCTGCCAACACCGCGATACGATGGAAGCGATCAAGCAGAGCCCACATAGGAAACGGACAAAGACGTCGAGCGTCGTGACGATGCACTTTTGGTGCTGCTTGATTGGCCCGATCGGGTCGTAGCCTTGCTTGCGCTGTGATTTAAAGTGGAACGATTCTCAGCCTTGGGCTTACGACATTCTGTAACTTAGGTTGCAGTAATGGAAATAATTATAATTACAGGTCTACGAAGTGCCGACGGTGCATATTTGATATCATTCGATGCACCGTTCCTCCGAAGAAAACCTTAAAACCTCCTCGTGCCAATTTCTCGCCAGAAAGTATCTCGCTTTCATAAGGAGGTGTACAAGGTCACGCTGTAAGGCGTTTTGTGAATTGGAATCGTCCACAAATCTCCCCATTTAATACTAAAAAAAGGGAAAATATCTCTGTAACCATTTAATTTTGAGACGAAGACACGATTAAAAGCAGACACCACAACGCCATTTCCGAGCTTTTAACTACGCCGTGTGCATGTTTAGGGAGCGGAAAATTAGTCAGCCCCCAAAATGGCCTCTGGTGTATCTGCTGCGACGAAACATGTGGCGAGTGCAGTATCCGCCGCTAGCCTTGGGGGTCTTCAACGTGCACCACGCAGTAGTTATACGCGACCGCCACGCCGGTACGCGTATATAAACCGTTTCCTTCCGGAGTAAAACCATGGGGGCGAATCCGGGGAGCCTGAATGGCCTTCTTTGAAGCACGTCACAAATGCGCGCGCCGCCGGCGGGTTAAAACGCGCGGCGCCAGTAGTTTCGCGCGTACACAGATGCCACCTCGGATATAGAGATGCCGTCTCGAGAGATTTAGACGCTTTTAGCTCTCCACCAGGCGCTCCTGGGGGTTTATATTCACCACCAAAGGAAGCCTCCTTTTGTTTACCTCCAAATATTAACCGTCAGCTGCGCCCATTCGTGCCTGTCTGCGTGTGCTCCCATCTCTACCGTATTCTTCTACTTTTTATTTTATTTTCCTAGTCTCAACCTATGCGCCGCCCGGTCGGTGTCAGGCGCACGAAACGCGCCTGGCCGCAATGCCTTTCCCTGAACACCTGCACACCCAGCGGCACTGTGAAAGAAAAGTGCAATACAATACAATACAATACAACGTGCCGCAGCACACTGTCACCGCGAAACGCGTCGTGAACGAGGGGGGTCGAGTGGGGTAACACGCGCCAATGTGTCGCCTCTCAAGGAATGATTGGCCAATCGCTGGCAATGGTGCTTTGGCCAGTGGCAAGCCATTGGCCCATGACTGGCCTTTCTCTGGCCATTGGCCAAACATTGGTCAATGAATGGCCACTCTTTGGCCATTGGCCAAAAGACCATCACCAGTCATTGGCCAGTGCTTAGCCAAAATCCGTGCTGCTTGGTGTAATGTGCCGCAGCAGACTGTCGCCGTGAAGCGGCGTGAAGGGGGGGGGGGGGGCGGGTAGAGTTATTATGCGCTTTCTGTGATACAATACCCCGCCGTTCGTCACTGCACCTCCGAAAAGGGCAACACGCCGCCGTCCTTGGTGAGAGTCGTCTTTTTATTTCGAACAACAAGCGCGAAAGGGTTACAGTCGCCTCCTGCTTGCAAAAGAGCTGGACGTTCAAATAGGCCAATCAAGGCCCTGGATTTGCTCTATGGTTTTACTCCGTGAGCAAACGGCAATACTCCGCCGGTACGATGTTCA